CTCTCTCTCTCTCTCTCTCTCTCTCTCTCTCTCTCTCTCTCTCTCTCTGTGTGTGTGTGTGTGTGTGTGTGTGTGTGTGTGTGTGTGTGTATGCCATGGGGCACATTTGGTGGTCAGAGGACAACTTCTTAGAGCTAGCTTTTTTTTTCTACCACATGTGTCTGGAAGATCCATCTCAGATTGTCAGCTTTGGTGCCTAGTGCCTTCACTTGGTGAAGTCATCTCAGTAATCCCATCAATTGGCTTTCTTGAACAGTTTATCAATCTATTTTGTATAAGAGCAGCACATGAGCAAGGACCTACTATGTTTTTTCTCTCAAATCAATACCTCTTTATCATTGGAAATGAGGTCACAATTTTATTATTCTAGGTCAATAACACTTTAGGTTGTATTGTGTATGCCAAATCACTTAGCATTTTTGAGTTAAATATTTTTCAAAAACCTTTTCCTGAAAGCATGCCTATTTTGTTTGTGGACCAATCTTTATTTTACATTTATACCTCTTGATAGTTAGAATTATTATGTGATCCATTCTTTAGACACTTGTCTATTCCCTCCAATTAGGAAGAGGAAATGCAGATATAAATGTTTGTGACTAGAGATAGAAATGTACCTTGAGTAGTAGCATGCTTCCAAGCATGCATGAAGCTCAGCAGCACATAAATCATGTGTAGTGGTTCATGCCTACATTTCCAACAATTGTACTGTGCAAGCAAAAAGATCAGAACTTCAAGGTCATCTTTGGATACAATTGTATTCAAGGCTAGCCTTGAAAAGAGGACATCACCCCTCCCCACAAAAAAATTTGTTGTCTAGTTTGTAGCTGAAGTTTTCCTGGTCCCACCCAGTTCCTGTGGCTCCATAGTCCTGCAGTCCTGCAGCCATTCAGACCCAAGTGAACACACAGAGGCCTATATTAATTAAAACTGCTTGGCCATTAGCTCAGGTTTACCACTGACGAGCTCTTATACCTAAACCCAGCCCATTTCTGTTAATCTATATGTTGCCACATGTTCCGTGGCTTTACCTGTGTGCCATTACATGCTGCTCCCTGGATGGTGGGCTGGTGTCTCCTGACTCAGCCTTCCTCTTCTCAGAATTTCCTTTGTCTGCTTATCCTGCCTATATTTCCTGCCTGGCTACTGGCCAATCAGCATTTTATTTTCAACTAATCAGAGTAACACATTTACAGCATACAGAGAGATATCACCCATCACTAGTTATTATATTTGCATATATTGGTCTAGGAGATGTGTGTTTCTAAACATCATTAAATACTCATAAGTTTATTTAACAAATTTTTAAATTTTCCAATAACATACAAGTATTGTGGCTGAAGGGATATTGTGCCATAGCATCATAGAAGTGTTAAGTGGACACTTTTAAACACTATTAGATTTTTAAGAAAGGAGACTCTTGAATTTCTGTTACTTTACCTATAAAAGCACCATCATCAGCCTGAAGTCACTCTACATCCTACCTGTAAGAAACAAAAAGCCGGAGGAGCCAATTTATGTTTAGTCAACATAGTGTGGCTTTGGCTATGGGGCATGAGTCAGCATAAAATGACTGACCCTGGATATGCAGGAACCTGAGAGCAAACAGTGATGCAAACAGTTAGATTAATATTTTTGGCAGAGTGTGAAGTTGGTGTGATTTTTGTGTATATGTGGTTTGGAAGTCAATAGTCTGAATCTTTGCTTTCACCAGCTTGTCTGTGTATGTTTGTCTCTAGGCCTGGGAGACTATGACCATTTGAGCAGTGTGCTACCTGCCTTTGCAGCCCATATGTGCCATCCTGTTCCTGTGTCTGTGTACCTGATGGTGACTGCTGGCCTAATGACCTTTGTTTGGAATTATACAATTAATTCAATCCACCTTATCAATCATTGATTTCATTGGCTCTCATCAACCTTTCAAGCTCCTGTGACTGTTCTTGTTTCTGAAGCAGTGGTTCCCTTTTATAACAGGACTGAGCTTAGCAAGGTCAGTTGTTTTTTGTCTTTTCCCAGGGGCCAGTTTGCTAAAACCTCTGTCACATACTACCCCACCATCCTATGTTGACTTATATCTGGCTTCAACCATACCTTCAAGAAGTATCTCCAATCTGGTAGCCAATCAACATCCTTCCCAGCCATCGGCAGGAACTGATCTTTCCGTGTTCGGTCAAACAGA